TCATTAGGAATACTTATAGAACTTTTTACGATGATGCCAGAACTCTTTTCAGAACTCTCAGAACTCTGAATTTTAAAATTTTGAAAATTTATGAAAATTTCAAAGTCCTGTAACTTTTTTGATTTTGGATTTAAAACAAAATGTCACTAGAAATACTTATACAACTCTTTATGACGATGCCAGAACTCTTTACAAAACTCTCAGAACTCTGAATTTTAAATTTTGAAAATTTTAAAAAACTTCATAGTCCCGTAACTTTTTTGATTTTGGATTTAGAACAAAATGTCATTAGACATACTTATAGAACTCTTCGCAACGATGCCAGAACTCTATTCAGAACTTGCAAAATATTATTTTCATATGTTTTTTTAATTTGTTAATAACTTTTGAAATTTTGCAGAACTCTTGTTTTTTTAGTAAAGAACTCTAGAACTCTTTATTCTCTTTCAGAATATTAGGTCAGAACTCTTTTTTGCAAAAATCATAGTGCTATGCAAAGTTAGAACTATGATTTTTCATTGTCGCTTTTTTTATTGTTAATCATCAGAACTATTTAAATAATCGTTAGAGAACTCTAGAACTATTACCAAAGTGCCTAGAACTCTTGTAAAATTTTTGATTTTTCAAAAAAGTAGTGCCAACTTTACATGACTGAATAGTTCTGATAATCCGAAGTCATAAACAAATAATTGAAAACACGAGAATTTTTCAAAAAATCTAAAATGTTACGTTACAAGAGTTCTAATTAGAGTTCCGTTAGCCCCCCATCTAGATCAATAAAAAACTCTTATAACAATTTTTTCAAAACCTAAAAACTACAAAACTACAAGACTTTTATGTTTTAAAAGAAATTTTTTTTTTTTCAATTGAAAGTTCTATGAGTTCTAATCAGATTTCTGTGAGCCCCTAATACTGTTCGATAAAATAACTATAATAGGTAACAATTTTCTTAAGACCCAAAAACTACTGAATTACAAGACTTTAAAGTTTCAAAAAAATTCATTTTTTTGTTAAATTTAGAGTTCTAAGAGTTCTGATGAGAGTTCTGCGAGCCCCCAATAGTGTTCGATAAAAAACCCTGAAACCAATTTTTTCAAAACCTAAAAACTATTAAACTACAAGACTTTTATGTTTCAAAAGAAATTTGGTTTTTTTAAATTGAAAGTTCTATGAGTTCTAATCAGAGTTTTGTGAACCCCAAATCTTCAGACAACTACCAATTGCTTGGTCAATAAGCTTTGTTTTACATATATAATTACGCACCATTATGTATATCAACCTAAAAAGAACAATTAAACACTTTTTTAAAATTTGCAATGGCATTAACAGGATTTTACCGTGCCGTATTATCTCTATAACTATCCTTGCCCCTTGAGCCCATATTTCAGTTTTTTCTAAATTTTAAGGAACGACGTGAATTAATTTGAAAATAAATACAATATTCGTGTTCAGCAGGAAATTCCACTCCGAAAAACACTTACGTAAATAAATATTCTGAAACTCTAATATAGAAAACAATATGATAAACATAACGTTGACATTTTAGCAAAATAGACTATTTTCAAAAATAAACTCCTAACTTCGCAAATGGTGACAGATTGACTTCCAATTTTTACTATCATCTTTTGGTGTTAAAATGCGAATATACCATGAATTACTCGATTTTTGAGCATAAGCAAAAACTTACTATCCTTGCCCCATCCTCCCCTGTATAAAAAAATAAAAGTAAAAAAATATATAAAAATTTTAATAAACTATAAAAATTAAATTCATCAGCTAATGTCAGGGTATTTATTGACATTTGATTTTACCAAAAATTATCATACTGATGTCAGATTAACCCTTTAAGTTGTAGTTAAATAAAAGTCAAATTACACATAGATTATGACGTAACTAAATGAGAGAGTAAAAAATGAAACGTCAAAATTAGGTCAAAATGATAGGTGTAAGAGCAAACACAATTATAAAATTACCTTACATTGTTAGGTCAGATGGCAAACTTCACCTCATCATTAAGTCTGCGCGCGGAAATTGTTTGACAAATTTTGACGTCTAGGTCAAAACTGCCCTCAAACTTGACCTAAATTTTTAGGGTAGCGGGAATTCTTTGTCAAATTTTGATGCGTAGGTCAAAACTGCCCTCAAAATTGACCTACATTTTGAGGGTAGCGAAAATTGTTTGTCAAATGTTGACGTCTAGGTCAAAATTGACCTAAATTTTGAGGGAAAAACTACAGGTCAACTCTCGACCTGTAGGTCAAAAAATCTTGAAACAGCGGCGGCGATATCTTTTTGTAATATAGAGAGATAATATTATATAATATATTATTATATATTATAATCAGCGACCCTAGAAACCTTAAGGTACCAAGTTTCATAAAAATCTATTAAAAATTTTTTCAACAAACTTTTGGCCCGAACAGTGGAAATCTCGTTGATAGCCAAGGGGTTAATTTGTTAATAACTTTCGAAATTTTGCAGAACTCTTGTTCTTTTGGTAGAGAACTGTAGAACTCTTTATTCTCTTTCAGAATATGAGAACAAAACTCTTTTTTGCATAAATAATAGTTCTATGCAAAGTTAACACCAAGTTTTTTCATTGTCGCTTTTTTTGTCAATCATCAGAACTATTTAAATAATAATCGTTATAGAACTCGAGAACTATTGCTAAAGTGCCCAGAACTCTTGTTAAAATTTTGATTTTTTTAAAAAGTAGTGCCAACTTTACATGACTAAGTGTTTGAACTTATTCAATTATTCAAAAACAAATTAATTTCAAACCTTAAAGTCTTGTAATTCAGTAGTTTTTGGGTTTTGAGAAAATTGTTATTAGGGTTTTTTCTCGAACTCCATGGGTGGCTCACAGAACTCTGATCAGAACTACAAGAACTCTTAATTTAAAAAAAACAAATTTTTTTGAATCTTCAATGTCTTGTAGTTATGTAGTTTTTAGGTTTTGAAAAAATTCTTATTAGGGTTTTTTATCAAACACTATTGGGGGTTCACAAAACTCTGATTAGAACTCATAGAACTTTCAATTTAAAAAAACCAAATTTCTTTTGAAACATAAAAGTCTTGTAGTTTAATAGTTTTTAGGTTTTGAAAAAATTGGTTTCAGGGTTTTTTATCGAACACTATTGGGGGCTCGCAGAACTCTCATCAGAACTCTTAGAACTCTAAATTTAACAAAAAAATGAATTTTTTTGAAACTTTAAGGTCTTGTAATTCAGTAGTTTTTGGGTCTTAAGAAAATTGTTACCTATTATAGTTATTTTATCGAACAGTATTGGGGGCTCACAGAAATCTGATTAGAACTCTTGTAACGTAACAATTTAGATTTTTTGAAAAGGAAGGGAACTCTAGAACTCTATTAAAACAACTCAAAACTCTAATTATAAATCCACTTTTTCAATAGTGAGGGACTGTGTGAAGTTGACCCCCTATTATGAAAAAACTTATTTTTTACTATTTAATTGCCGGAACTATTTCTAAAAACTATCAGGAACTCTAGAACTATTGAAGAAATGTTTTTTATAAATAAATAATTAATAAACAAATTTTGAATTGTGTTAATCTTTGAGCACTAAATAATAGGCTAATTGTAAATATTCTGTTGGCGTTTTTAACGTGTTTTTCGTTATGGTCCGGCCAGCGGATCGCTGAGTTAGTAATAAGCTAATAAGTTAGTTTTTTAAATAAATAATTAATAAACAAATTTTGAATTGTGTTAATCTTTCAGCACTAATTGAGCACTAAATAATATGCTATTGATAACTATTTTGTTGGCGTTTTTAATGTGTTTTTCGTAATGGTGCGGATAGCGGTTCGCTCACTCATTTGAATAAGTTTTTCTTTTAAATAAATAATTAATAAAAAAAATTTTTTATTTTCTTAATCTGCGAACACTATTTGAGCACTAAATTATAGGCTAAGAAAACGAATTATAAAACGAATTTAAAACATTTTTAACGTGTTCACTCTTTCGAAGAAATGTTTTTTATAAATAAATAATTAATAAACAATTTTTTATTGTGTTAATATTTAAGCACTAATTGAGCACTAAATTTTAGGGTATTGATAAATATTTTGTTGTGATTTTTGACGTGTCTGTCGTAATGGTGCGGTTGGCGGATTAGTCACTCAATCGAAAAAAAATTTTTTTTAAATAAATAATTAATTAAAAAATTTTTATTTTGTTAATCTTTGAGCACTAATTGAGCACTAAATAATAGGCTATCGATAAATATTTTGTTGGTGTTTTTATTGCGTTTTTCGTTATGGTCTGGCTAACGGATTACTCACTCATTCAAAAAATTTTTTTTTTTTTAAATAAATAATTAATAAAAAAATTTTTTATTTTGTTAATCTTTGAGCACTAATTGAGCACTAAATAATAGGCTATTTATAAATATTCTGTTGGCGTTTTTAAAGCGTTTTTCGTTATGGTCCGGCCAGCGGAACGTTCACTCAGCAGAACCATTGTTTTTTTTAAATAAACATTGAGCACTAAATTCGGCAATATGGTACAAAAATAGCACTAATTGAGCACTAATTAATGGTATAATTTAAATTCATTTTTATAAAAGTGGTTCGGCCAGCTTCACAGACCTCAAAATTCCCCGACTTTTCCAGGTTTTTTTTCAAGGTTTTTAAAATTCCTTGGCATTTCCAGGTTTTCCTTTTCGTCAGAAATAAAAAAAAATGAAGTTTTTGTATTAGAATTCGTGGTAATTTCATAGTTTATGACTATGAACAAAAACAAAAAAAAAATCAAAAAATATATCTAAATTCTGAATTTTCTTATGAAATCTAAAAATTTAATTTTTTCTAGTACTTTTAGTAAAAATTCCTGACATTTCCCTGAATTCTCTAACCAAAGAGGCAACCTTGCTCTAGAAGTCCCCACAAATCCCGTATTTTTAAAAAAATTTTTCTCCCCTTTTATTTGACCGTATTTTTAAAATTCTTGAATTGTTAAATTTTGACTCGGCGAGCATTACCTTTAATTGCATTGGATGAATTTCATAGGGTACAGTATGAACGTTGTTCATAGTTTGTAATCCAAGTTGTTGTGGTTGATTTTGTTGCAAAAGACCCAGTTTATTTAGCGGATATTTCCATTTTTCTTGACTCTGAAATAATATTAGAGAAAAAATTGTATATTTTCCAAAGTTTCAAGTGTAAAATTTGATTGAAAGAGAAAAAGAAAAAAAAGAAAAGAAATAACATACACTATCAATATTAGCCTCATCAGCCAATGCCCAAGCACGAGGTGCTTGTTTATTATGAAATCCAGAAGACTGAGCATTGAAGTCTGCTTCAATTGGCCGTTGAAATACGTAGCCAACCATTGCGTCGTCTTGGGGTCTGCTGATTCCCATTTGATGAGTTTGTCCACTTTGAATTCTCACTCCATCACCACCAGCCATAATTTGAGTACCCTGATCGGAATCCTAAAGAAAAATTACCATTTAGTATTATAATCCAACAATTCTATCATCTTAATAAATCATTTTCATATATTTTCCTTCCTATTCAAATCACCAAAAAAAGGGGGAAAAGGTGACAAAATTGAAAAAGGGACAAGAGGAAAAAATTGGACTATCTATGATGCCTATTATAAGAAAAGGATAAATTAAATTTTAAATTTCTTTTAGCCGAAGAGTAAAGAATGTAATTTCCAACAAGTTGCATTTGATGAAAAATTACAGTATTTTGTCAATCAGATAAATTTTCGTTAAATTCTAGGTTATGTTATACCCAAATCGTTTCTTATTCAAGTAAAATTGTAATTTTTATTCAAATCCAACTTTTAATCAAGGTTGCCACGCTTTTGCTCTTTTCAAATTCCCTGACTTTTCCAGGTTTTCCAGGTTAAAAAACGGAATTTTTCCAGGTTTTTAAAACTACTTTTATATTTTACAAAATTAAATAATTTCAATAAATTTTTAAAAATACATGGAACTTTCATATAATACTGTATTCCGCATTTATTTATCTTTTTTAAATAAATATTTAGTTATTATTTTTCCATAGGAATTAAAATTCTTCAAAAGATTCAAATTCAAATCTTTTTGAAATTAAACAACTTATAAAAAATTGTTATAAAACATGAAGAAATCGATGACTCCGAGTCGAACGAGTCTTCGACTCGGAGCAATCGATATCTTCATGTTTTATAAATAATTAAAAATGACCGAACGATAAAATCATTATTTTATATTATAAAAATATTGTTACTCTAATTTATTCAAAATTACTTTCATCACTTCAATTTAATTATTGTTTTCCAAAATATTTAACTAAAATTCTTCTTTAAATAATTAATTATTCATTCATTTTTAATAATTTTTGAAAAATTTCTTTGAAAATTTTCAAATCCGTTTGTTTACAATTCAATTTTACGAAATTTCATCGATTATTCGGAAATTCTTCCGAAAATATATATTAAAAAAATAAAAACTTCAAATAACTGAAAAAAATTCAATTAAACTTTTTCAGAAAAATTAAATCTACACAATTTTTAGTTGAAAGTATGAAAAATTTAAACATTCAAAGATTATAATTTAAAACCTTTTCAAAATTCAACTAATAGAAACGACTATTTTTTAGTAAAATCTGATAATTCAAAAGCAAAAATTCAGTCTCTAATTCAAATTAGAAAACATTTTTACTAATTCAAATTTAGAGAGTTTAATATTAAATTATTATCTAAAATTTGAACTGAAATTCATATTTAAATAAATTTTTATTAGAAAATTTTACTAGAATTCAATTATTCAAATACAAAATTAAATAATTTATTGAACAAATGAATGTTTCTTAAAATTCAATTCCCATAAAGAACTTTATCAACAAAATTTTTAAATAATTTAATTCTTTCGACGAATTTTTATAAAATTTTTAAGAATAATTACATTTTTCGTGAAATTCGATTAAAATTGTCTTAAAAATAATTGAAAATTCCGCGATGAGTTTTACGATTTGTGAAAATAATTGTAATCCCTAAGAAGAATTTTATTATTTTTAACAATATTTAATTTTTGCAAAGAATATTATTACTCTTGATAATAACTGAATTTCTGCAATAATTTCGTAACTTTTCCAAAATTAAATTTTTTTTTCGTGTTTTTAACTAAAATTCTTCTGTAAATGCATTATTTTTAATAATTTTTGAAAAAGTTCTTTGAAAATTTTCAAATTGTTTACAATTCAATATTACAAAATTTGAATTATTTGTAAATTCTTCAACTAAATATTTATATTAGGAAATAAAAACTTGAAATAATTTCAAAATAAAATCCTCAATTAAATTTTCTCAAAAAAATTAATTCCACAGAATTGTTAGTTAAGAATATGGAAAATTCAGATTTTCAATGATTTTAATTTGAAACCTTTTCAAAATTCAATTATTGAACTACAAAAAAAATATTTATTGAATAATTGCATATTTTTAAAGTTGAATTCTCATAAAGAATTTTATAAATATATTTTTAAAAAATTGAATTCTTTTGATGAATTTTAATACAATTTGTAAGAATAATTATATTTTTCGAGAAATTCGATTAAAATTATTGTATTAAAAAATAATTGAAATTCTACAATGAGTTTTACTTTTATTATTTAATGAAAATAATTGAATTCCTAAAAAGAATTTTATTATTTACGAAAATAATTGAATCCATGTAAAAATTTTATTATTTATGAAAATAATTGAATGATTGCGAAGAAATTTATAAAAAAAATTCAAATAATTGAATTCCTGTGAAATTTTTATTATTTGATTTTGAATTCCTGTGAAATTTTTATTATTTTATGAAAATAATTAAAGATTTGCGTAGAATTTTATTAAATTTTTTTTAACAATTGAATTCTTTTGGCCAATTTTATTAAAATAGTAAGTATTAAAAATCATTGTTTGAGGAAAATTTTTAAAAATAATTGAAATTTTGCCACGAATTTTATTAAAATTTTTGAAAATAATTGAATTTCAGAGAGAAGAGTTGAATTATTTCTAAAGATAATTGAAATTTTAACGAGAATACTAGAATTTAATTATTCAAAGACAAAAATAAATAATTTATTGAACAATTGAATGTTTTTTAAAATTGAATTCTCATTTAAAGAATTTTATCAACAAATTTTTAAATAGGTAATTAAAATTCTTTTGAGGAATTTCAATAAAATTTTTAAGAATAATTTCATTTTTCGAGAAATTAGATTAAAATTGTATTAAATAGAATTAAATCTCTGTAAAAAAAAATTTGATTTATTTTTTTAAGAAAAGTTTTTGAAAATAATTGAAATTTTGTCAAGAATTTTATAAACTTTTTGAAAATAATTGAATTTTGGAGAATAATTACATTTTTCGAGAAATTCCATCAAAATTTGTATTAAAAATAATTGAAATTTCCGCGATGAGTTTTATTATTTATGAAAATAATTGAAAACCTATAAAGTTTTTTATTATTTATGAAAATAATTGAATCTCTGTAAAAATTTTGATTATTTAAGAAAATAATTGAATTATTGCGAAGAAATTTGTAAATAATAGAATTCCTGCGATGAATTTTATTATTTATGAAAATAATTGAATGTTTGCGTAGAATTTTATTCAAATTTTTTTTAATAATAATGAAATTCTTTTGGAAAATTGAATTATTGCGAAGAAAAATTGTAGATGCAACTCTTTTAAAATTTAATTAATTTTGAGATATTTAAGAAAAATTCGATTTCAAGAATAAGCACAATAATTTTAGAAAACAATAATTTTCCAGGATTCTGATCAAAATTCCCCGACTTTTCCAGGTTTTTTCAAGGTTTATAAAATTCCCTGACATTTCCACGTTTCCAGGTTGCGTGGCAAGCCTGTAATTTAATTGATTACAATGTTGAAAATTACAATATCTACTTGTCCACTAAATCGAATTTAAAATTTAATTTGTTCCTTTTAAAAGATACGAAATTATGACACTAGATTAACTTTTCTTCCAATTCTTTGTCGGATTCTTCCCAAGCAGTCCTGCTAATTAGTCATAATTAAAAGGTCCTTAAGGACAAGTTATTCAGTGGTCACGTGCGACAATAGTGAAGTGTATGGAACACGTGTCCTACCGGCAACATGACCCTGAAATTATTAATTCCTTCATTACCTAATTACCTAACTTAATTACTTAATTATTTTATGATCTAAATTTGAATCCAAATATTACAATTAGAATTCTAAATTTGTCAGTTCTATTTTAATAATTATTTTTTCTCCGAGAATATCCCTAGCGCTATTATGATTATATTGTAAACTTTATTATCGATATTTTATAAAAATCATTTAATTTTTGTTACTTATATAAATTAAGATTTAATTATGTAAAAAAAGGGTGTATCATACCGTAAATAAACTAAACTAAACTAATACATTTTTGTTTCATAAATCAAGTTTTTCTAAAGTTTTGGGTTAGAAATGTACACTGTTGAATTTTTCAACTCCCAAGGGAAATAAAAGCAGTGAAATTATGATTTTTATATCTAAAATCTAAAATAATAGTTTTTGACACTAACTTCAGGAACATCTTAAAGTGGAGATAATAAGGTATTTTTTAAAGCAAAAATGTTGAGGTGAAACTTCAAAAAATTGCAATAAAAATTTTCCTATGCCCTTTTAAGGATTATCTCTTGTACAGAATTTAAATCCCCAATCTTTTCCAATTCAAACAATTTCAGAATTCGCACTCAATAATTAATTTTAAACAAGTAGCAAAAAGTAGTAAATAAAAGTAGCTATTAAAATTTTTGAGAATAATTAAATGTCTGTGTCGCATTTTATTAAATTTTTTTTTGAAAATAATTGAATTCCTAAAAAAAGTATTTTATTGTTTATGAATATAATTGATTTTTTGCGAATCATTTCATTAGAATTTTTTAAAATACTTAAATTTCCAAGAAGAAATTTATTACTTTTAAAAATAATTGAATTCTTGTGATGAATATTGTTATTTATGAAAATAATTGAATTTTGCAAAGAATTTTATTAAAATGCTTCAAAATAATTGAATTTTCGGGAATAATTTTGTTATTTATCTTTAATAATTGAATTCTTTCGAATTATTTATGTAAATAATTGAATTCTTGGGAAGAATTTTATTAAAATCTAAATGAATAAATGAACTATAACAAAAAAAAATTAATTAAAATTGTATTTATAATAATTGATTTCTTTTGAACAATTTTATTGAAATAAATGAAAATAATTGAATTCCTGTGAAAAATTCTAATATTTTTGTAAATAATTGAATTCTTCCCAAGAATTTTAGAAAAACATTTTTTCGAAGAATTTAAATTAATTTTTTAAGAATAATTACATTTTTTGAGCAATTCTTGTCAAATTTTAAATAATTAAAAATAATTGAAATCCTGCGATGAATTTTATTATTTATGAAAATAATTGAATATTTGC